AGTACGATGTTTTATGGTGTAAGATTAGGTTTGAAGAAAGCTATGGGCGGCCAGACCAAAACATGGCACAAATCCATGATGTCACTGACATGTGAACTGAGCCATGTTGGTAGGTGTAGACTACCTGGTTGGGATACGCGAGATGATAGCAATTGATAGTTAGAGACCTTGAATGACATGGTTCAAAATTCGTTTGCAATGGCGCGGGTGCATCCACTCTTTGTGTTCTCCCAAATTGTAACCTTCTGAATTCTTCATGTCCCTTCCTTTTTTTTCTTTCTGGAAATTTATTTCACTAGATTATACTCTTTGAATAACATCTTCAAACCCTAATGTTTCTGATTACTGCTTATACTATTACCCCCTCTACCACTACGGGATTTGAATCGACAACTGCATCTCTGTGCTAATGTGGTGTGGCAACTCGAACTGATGTACATACGTACGAAGTTCTACGTTGTTACTGACTGACTGACTGGATACTGGAGCACATGTGCACCATTGGTTTGGAGTCAAGTTTGCCAACTAACCTAGGCGGACTCTCCGTGTCCACAAACTCGGTTAAAGCACCAGACATTCTCTCTTCGATCGCTCAATTCCGTAACCAACACGCCCACCGCGAGACAGTGAGTAGGACTTCCCTGGTAGTGATTGTATGCACGTGAACATGTGATAGCATTTCGAGAAAGATAGCGGATTCTCCCCACTCTCGGCCGTATAAGGGGATTCGGGGGCAAGATCCTAGAGTCTTCCTCAAATATCCACTAGCGCTGATTGGATAAGAAATAACCAACCTAATCCTATACCAAACGTGCTTTAATTCAATCTATATCCCGTTAACACCTCCCCTTTGAGCAAATTCGTAGGATCTCGTGTTAGGATACACCTGCGACCGCATGACTGATCTCTACCTTCGGTTTATATATATATATATATATTCGCTCACTGCATAAACTATTTTTCTTAACATATATCACTTCCATTTGTTTTACAGAAAAACGACGTAGTTTTATAATGTCACATCCTCATATACTTTTAATAAGACTAGTGCATTTATAAATTCCGATTTGTGTAGGTTCTAATCTTTAATTAGGTGTTAGATATACATTATTATAAAATATATATTTTTTGGATTAGAGAAGAAAGGCTTTATAATACGATGGTGTAAGCAGAATCTAAAATAACCTATTTTGCTAACTTGATAATGAAAAATGACTAGAATATGTATTACAATTTTGAGTTGGTTCAGGTTAACCACATAGAAACAACAACAAAAATGAAAAATGCTATTTGTTACTATTACTTAGACAGAAAACAATATAAAACTACGGATAACGTAGATCTTAAGTTATAAAGTTTATAACATTCATAGTGAATATAATTAGTTAGCAATAGAAATAATCTAATAATTGAGTATACATTCAATTATATTTTATATCTACATCTATTATATGAATCCTGAGAATACTACATATTAAAGCACCTGAATTATTTATAATTTATGATTTAGTTGTTAGAAGAGTACTCAAAATGTGTTAGTCGGTGTATACACTCTCTATCTTCCCTTAAACTATGAGATTAAAATCGCTTCATATCTTTCTTTCTACGAACCAATTCTTTCTTCTTGTATTATATCTCTATATGCAATCTTTCTCTTATATATTACCACCTTTGACATAACCACTGCTATGAATCCGGTGTTCATCTTGTTGTGCTGATGCGGTATGGCAACCTGGATCGATGCACATATGTGCCTGGTCCTACGTTGTAGCTGACTGACTGACTTAAGGATATCATGGAGTATTATTGAGATGTTTATACCAATGTAGCCTAGAGTGGTAAAATGTTCATTGTAAAACGAACAACTAACTTAGATATTTAGAATATAAATTAAAGAGAGTTAAAATTCACAGCTTTTGTCGAACAATCAGATCACCAAGAAGTTATCCCAATGTGTTTTGAGCTGAAGTAATTTAAATGTATCCTGATAATGAGTTTGTGCAATGATAATGGTGAGTAACAAAGTCAAAGGAGATTAAGAAAACGATTTGACATTGGAAATAGAGTCAGAAATTAGTGAAACTATAACAGTAGAAAAGGTATTGGTAATCCAGTTTCAAATGGGGGTGAAATGCTTACAAAAACAATTCAACTGGCTTGTTTGGGTCTTCAACGATAGAGGTTGGATGTTGCTATCGAAATTGGCTGAAACAATTACTTTCGCGGCTCAACGCAATTCTGTCTAGAATGAGTCGGTTGCCAATCATCACAGTTTAAAGATCAAAATTCTTCTTACAATAAATAAATAACAATTAGTTTGACTAATACAATCACTATGATTTTCATATTTCAAAATTATCCGATAATTAATTATAGCCAGAGGAACTACGTAACTCATTTATAAAGTGCATGGTTATATACTCAGTTTTTAACCACACTGCACGAATTATTGATATTACCCGATTGTCCAAACTAAAATACATGAGACGAGGTTTAAACCTGTGAACTAACGGTTTTCGGTCGGGTGTTTTAGCCACTAACATCCCTCTGGGTACAGTAATTTTGAGAATGCCAGGACGTTTTCAAGTTCGACCAAATAGGGATCGATCGAATCAGTCAGTCAGTAACAACGTAGAACTTCGTACGTAGGTACATCAGTTCGACTTGTCACACCACAGTGGCACAGAGATGCAGTTGTCCATTCAAATCCCGTAGTGGTAGAGGCGGTAAGAGTATAAGCAGTAATCAAAAACATTAGGGTTTGAAGATGTTATTCAAAGAGTATAATAAAGTGAAATAAATTTGGAAAGAGAAAAAAAGGAAGGGACATGAAGAATTCAGAAGGTCACAATTCGTGAGAACACAAAGAGTGGGTGCATCTGCGCCATTGCAAACGAATTTTGAACCATGTCATTCAAGGTATCTAACCATCGATTGCTATCATCCCACGTATCGCAACCAAGTAGTCTACACCTACCAACATGGCTCAGTTCACATGTCAGTGACATCATGGATTTGTGCCATGTTTTGGTCTGGCCGCCTCTAGCTTTCTTCAAACATAATCTTACACCATAAAACATCGTACTTCGGGCGGTCGGTGGTTGGACATACGTAACACTTGTCCCAGCCATCTCAACTGATGAAGTTTTACTACGTCATCAATTGATTTGCCATCCTAACCTACCACCCGTTTCCTAACAACTGCGTTACTTACCCCATGATCCCAGGATATACGAGCAATGTTTCGAAGACACCTATGATCAAATACTAGTAACCTACGGATATCCTTTACTCTTACCGGTCATGTTTCACTGCCATAAAGTAGGACAGAACGAACTGCTGCGCAGTAAACACGTCCTTTGTTCGATAGACGGATATCTCGCCTATGCCATAAATGACGCCAGTTGGCAAAAGCTAGTCGAGCCTTCTGTATCCGTGCTGAGATTTCGTCACACACCAGACCACAAGGATTGATGACACTTCCAAGAAAAGTGAAGCGGTCGACACGCTCAATTACTCCACTCCCTATCATTAGTTCGGGTGTCAATGCAACCCAATCCTGAAACAACATTTCGCATTTCGATAGATTCCCGACCGTAGCTGCTACATTGACGCGGTGGTTGGGCTTGCCTATCGTGATGATCCAACCGAGCTATATTGGTTGGAACACATGTTCCTCTAGGTTCTACCATGTCAGGCAGGTCGATTGGAGAGCGGTCAGAATAAAAGCAGCAACTCATGGTCTGAGGGCGAAGTCGTACTGCTGACTGTAGAGGGATGCGACAGCAGTAAAGTGTTTCCTTCAGACAACCAGCATCTGCAGCGATGCTGCCTTTTCACAAGGAAGGAAGGGGTTAGAAAAGGTTGACCCTAAAAATGTCACACCTCACCTTACCTCACAGATTTCCGTCTCCGGCAGTAAGGCATTTTGAAGAACGGAGCTAACACGTTAAAAACCTCCCATGAAAAGGCCGTGAGCAAACCGACCTCAAGCAGTTGTCCCTTGAGCTCTGCGGGCACGCTCCCAGGTTGCTAAGACCAACACTAATCCGATTTCTTTTTCAGGTTCCTGATGAAATACCCTTCCACAGTGTGAGTAGCCGGGAAGTGATATCAGCCCTCATAGCCGTAACAGCACGTGAGACCAAGTTGGTCACGTTCAAATCCTTCCCACACCAACTAATAACTCTATTATCTCCACGACCAACCCTTCTCACGTCCCTTTATCACCTCGCACCGCTAGGGCAAACGATTCGTGTATGCGGAACGTTATTCCTGGTCCCCTGAAATTACGCTCTAAACTACACGTAGGGATTTTCTTGTATCTGATAATAACTACGTAGTGAGTACAGTGGTAGCTTGACCGACAAAACTAATGGAGTTTCATTGATTAAGAGCTTCAAGGTGAATTACGACTATGCAGCAACGTAGGACCCAACAAACATGTATAATTTCGTATACATCTCATAATAAAGCAAAGAAACGAATGTCAAAAAAGTGGAAATAGTTTCAGTGACAAAAAAAAGAAAGAAATAGAAACAGAAACAACAGTTTGAGAAGAGGGAGCATAATATACGGACAAAAAGTGTGAAATATATTTCAGACTCAAGATTTAAGGGTAGACTTAGACAATATATCTGAGCTACTGCGACCGATTCCAAATATTATCTTCCAACATCTTCAAACATTGGTGGCAATTAACACACAGACTCCAACTAAGTACTATGGATTTTCAACAATCATAAACAAGAGTAGTGATAGAACTAACGAATTTCGAGCTCCTATACATAGGTTTATCTAATAAGTTACACCCTAAGTGAGGGATTTGACAGAAAGAATTTGCGAAGACTGATATCTACTAGCTAAACCATTTTACGATGAACCACAATTTTTTTATAACTTGTGCATGGAAACTGTATTGATTTGATGACCAAACAAAAAGCTAGCTGGAGCATATTCATAAAGCTAAATAAGCAAAAAAATGGGAAAATGAAGCTCACCAACACCTCTGGATCTGAATGACGACGTAACACCCAAACTAAGTATGTATGCAACTCGGTCGAAAGTGGAAAAACTCGATGCAAGTAATTTATTATCCTGAAGCACATAACAGAAATGAAAATCAAAAAACCAACATCAGCACTACAGTTTCCAGGGTCGTTACTGTCCCTACCAAGATACCAACTAAGTCATCACCTGAAACTGCTGCAATAGATATAAGAGATGAATTATCAAGGAGGTCCTGAAACCAAGAGGATGGATAGCTTAACAAAGGTTATTTACAGAAAGTATACCTGACTGGAAAGCATTCCTCATAAAGTGACTGCAATTTTATTACATCATATTTACAAACAGAACGGAATCTCAGAACGCTTATATCATCTGACTCCATCCTGTTTTCCGACAGACATGACCTTCAAAATTTCTCTAAAATAGCGGTAAGGTTACAGCCACGAGTGTTAAATCCAATATCCACTGACTTTTTAAATTAGTCATAAACCACCCAACTAATAAGCGCTCATATCTCGTTTTTAATTAGTTTAACCCACTTGAAATCTTAGTTCATCCATCTCGAGTTTCAATTTACAAAATTCCCTTAGTTCTACGCTCGGAATTAGCTGGTGCATCTTTGTTATGAACGTGAACTAATCAATTAACTTCTTTGAACTCGCCTTTTAATGCTTCCGTACAGTTCAGTGTCTTTTTAAACTATTGTCACTATCTATAACTTCCATTTCTCTTGTTTCTTTTTCAAACTTCCTTATGAATATTGTTCTATACACTGTCATACATCTCGTCCGCATACCAGACGCGAGCAGCAACATATTTATTCGAGTCACAGACCGCTCTAATAAGAAAAATTCGACCGTCTAATCTAAGCGCATAATAAACTGGCATTCCCAGATTTTTTGTTCGCACTGATGTAACATCTATTCGCTCTGTGGCAGTGGTTTTAATGATTGGTAACTTCCAATTTCAAAAATTTAGAGACGTTAACGATATATTGTTTCGCAACACTGATTTTAATTTATTTTTTGGAGACAACAAAATAAGTTGAACCAGAATTTGAAAATAAAGGGATGTGTAGATACACGTGGATACTGGTTGATACATTGAGATGTATGTGATCTTAACTGACTATCTGTTTCAAGAGGTGAGCAGCACGGTATAATGAAGTGTGGTTATTTCGGGGTGTTTGATCGAGCGCCATTATCTAGGAATCAGTAAATCACTACTAGAGACGACTTATGTGAATAGTTGGCGTCTACTCGAATTGGATGGGAAAGATGTGACCTCTTAGAAGAGGCACGTAGTCAAGAGATTCACGGCGTGTAACTGATAAATGTGCGCTAGTCACTCTCAACATTGATGGTACTGTTTAAATGTTCAGTGGTTTCCTGCACAACATAAAAACGGAACAGCTTGTTGGGTGATATAGATCGAGCTCACTGACATTTCGTCGAGCTACAGGTGTGTCCAGTAAGGCTGAGGTCTTATTCAATATTGAGGACCTTCAAAACTATTTATTTTTTGGGACTTATTTACAGCTACAAATTGCCACACCGCCGTTTTTTCCTTGATTACCTGCTTTTGTATTCTTAGTAAATAGTAAAGTCACAGGGACCAATGAATATCGTGTCACTAGATATTGGTTCAATATTTTGTTTTGAGTTGGGGTATTACTCTACATTCGTCCGGTTCAAAATGTCTTCTAAATCAAGTTCTAATGGCAGCGCATCAAATTCTTGTTTAGTATTCCGGATTTTACTCCGCAGAACGTATTGTAATAGTTAACTGAATTATTCAACATTTCAAAAACCGTTGAACAGAATAACCTATAAGTATCATTTACCAAGGATCTTATTTTGGGTTGTCGTAGATTGTTATTTGTTATGGGAACATAAAACTCGTTTTGTTCTGCTAAAACTTCAGAGAATATTAATTTATTTTCTGATGAAAAGCATAATAGAAAATAAAGACTGATATTTATTGCTTGAATGAGCAACTCGACCAGTTGGTTGGAAATAATGTCAGAAAAACCCCCCGATGGATGTATATAAATTCTCAACTCGGTTATCTTCTGACTGACTAAAACTGCTCAACCAATAAACCAATCAGAAATTATAAATGAAAGGTTGTTTCTGTCTTGCGGAGTCGCTTATGCTGCAATGCTTTTGAAAAATAACAACATCGTGATTGATAGTTATATAAGGAATAATTGGTGTGAGATCGGAGTAAGTCTAAATCGTGAAACTTCAACTCAAATTTTATCGATCCATACATTTCTATGCATCAGAACGGATGGAAACGTGTATACTAGCTCTATCAGATTATGTTTTGCGCGAAAATCGATTAGTGAAGGGTGCTCAACCATAACTAACATGAGGCGATCAACGGACCCCTTCAAATAACCCTCACTTTATTGACTTTCAGTTGATGATGTAGGTCATATTGGACCAACGTAAATCATGGCGAAATATATCGTGTTCTTCCCTTTAGTAGAAATTTTTCAATCACTTCATATACCTGTAAATTACAAATATTAACAGAACCCCAAACCTTCACGAGTATTTCAATTGCTTAAAATAATTCTAAAATATTTTAATTGTCGCATCTCATCGTTTAGCCATGAAGAATTGCGAGCCGCGTCCGTAATTTATGGTAGAAAAAGCCCAAAGCAGTTGACTTAGCTATCGCATCAGACCAAAGTGCTTTTAAAAATTGACTAACAGTATTAGGTTAAAAAGTTTCAAAAATATTTCAATGTTGGATCATATTGGAATACACGGAACAATACATCACTTTTTATTGGTATGCCTCCAGTTCTTAATCCGGCTTTCCAAACATTGATGGGTAACAATAATTAACAGTAATAATAAACACTTCATTATATATAATACGCTAAGCACGATATGGAATTCTTTTGAACTACTTATATTTCATCTTGGGAACCTCAATTAGAGTACTACAAATCTGATCCACCTCCTTGTGTAAATGCCATCTCCCTTAACCAATAGAAAATTGGGATACCGTTTCTGCTAATTAAATATGATCTCGAGCCTAGAAATCAAATAATTTGAACTGAGGTTTGATAAATTCCACTTTCTTGCCCTTTATATATCCGTTTGACAAAGCCTCGCTCAGGCTGTTAGCCGTCAAATGAAAAGCATGCTCAAAACAATGATCAGATGAGCCGATTTCGAGCTTTAAATACGAAATATTACGGTCCGCAACCTTTACCGTGGCTATGTTTTGTTATCCAGAACAGTATCACAAGTGTAATATTTTCATTTATTTGTTGCAAATACGTACTACACGATTTTATCATTTCTTGTCATACTTTTATTTCATTTATTTTTGTCTTAGAAACTCTGTTTGCAAGATACAGCATTCTAATTTGATGAAGTCATGTTAGTTATCCGCTTAGAAACTTGGACGTTTTAGATGTATACGTGTATTCACCTTTTTATAATAATTAGAACTATTCGAATTGATGTGCTAAGAATTACCGAAATATTGCTACTTAATGGAGGTAGAACTAGATCAGCACAAATGAACGTTTTATATTTGGAATTCGTCATCAGCACGCTATCAAGTACAATGGAATTATCAGTAGTTACAAATATTATACCATTGTTTATTCAATCTATCTGCCTATTTTTATATGTGATTTTAAATGTTAAATTATGTACAATTAATTCGTGCTGGTAATAATCGCGATTCCGAGCTCGCTTAATGTAGGCCTAAAGGAATTTCTGAAGTAAAATCCTCCACTCTTCGGTATTAGAATTTTATTACCACTATAGATCACCAATGTGAGTGACCTATATTGATGCCCGTGGTTTACTCTAATTGGACGAGAACTGTATAATTTCATAGTTTACGTCGAAACCACACCTCTCGGTTAATACTCAACGGAGTTAACCCTCTCGTGGTTTTCAGGTACTGCAGCTACTTTAATGACCATGTGGGACATGCATGACGTTACCGAGGAAATGTATTGGTTGAAATAGGTGGGCCACCAAATAAGAGCCCGTCTATAGCGTACAATTGAATGAAACACGTTGGTCATCCATGTCCTTGAAGAGAATCGATAAACTACTTGACATTCGTTGATCTTCGTGCTTGACGATTTGGCTAGAGTTTGACTACACTTTAATGGTCCTTCATTATTGCCGCTCAATAGACTTGGTCTAATTATTATATACAAAACTAAACGAAAAATTATATTTCGTCATGATTATTGAAATCGAAATGGTGCAATACACTGTAAAAACGAAGATCTGATAGAAATAACGTATATGCATGGACCAATCTAACTTCTGCATAAAATTACTACACTACTATAATTGAGGTTAGTTCGTAACGAAATCTAAGCAATTCCTAAACATATATCCAATTTTAATGTTAAAAACTATTCATCATTAATTATAGTTATATTACCTTTTTATCATAAATCATTTCATGACTAAATGGTATGAACTCGTTAGCTAAAAAGTAGTTCATTTTCATCCATATGCTATTCATTACACCAAGAGATCTAAACCGAGCTTCATCCATTTCTTTATTTGATTGATAATCTACAAACATAAATTCATGTTAATTTTTTGTACGCGCTTATTAACTTTCCCATAGTCGCATGTTAATATCTTTTCTTGTCATTTTTGTCCGTGCCTTTATGATATTGACGTATTTTTTGTATAATACACTCACTCACTTCCCACATGACACTGTACTCTATCAGATATATTACAATTTTCTCCACTACTTGTTGTTAATGCTAACTATATACCTCTTCAGTGTCATTTTCGAAAACTGGGGAGGGCGGGGCTTTGTAATGGCCAGTCCTAATGTTGAGCCCAGAGAGGTTAAGCTAGTTTCTGAACAGATCATTGATTTATTCTTATTAAACCATACTTTGAACTTGTCACTTATTGACTTATTAAACTTCATTGTTTTTATGTAGACGTGTGTGTGCACTTCCTAACTGACTCATCAGATATCTGTAGTTTATTTATGTCTGACTATGAGTATCGATTACCACCTGATTATATCGAGTCAGCTCACTCATCTCCATTGTGTGTCATTTTGTTTTGCTTCACTTTCCGATCAACGGTAGAATGTGAAATATACATATCCAAACTTCCTTCTCATATTTGACTGATTTAGTTCCGTTATTCATTAACGTAAGTTTAGTCGATCAATATACATGAGGGTAGCAAAGATGTATATTTCAACAGCAATCATTTGTCCAATCTAAGTGAAGTCGTGTATAGGGCCACTTAGAGGATACCTGATAGCGAGTAATTATAGAGTCGAGAGAATCTAAGAGATTTTGACCCATCCGACTTTTATGTAATCCATGAATATAATTGTTTTGTTTTGTGACAT